TACATGCTTTGTCTTGGCGGTCAGAAAGAAGCTCGTTAAAAAGCCGGCATCCCGAAGTGTCCAAAATATTTTGAGATTAGGCTGTACGATTGTCTCTATTACAATCATCCGCAATTAATATGTTCTAATCGAAGATTCATTTCAGAATTCCGGGTGCCATTGCATGAGGTAGTAAATCTACTATAAGTATAGAAGACGGTAAAGCGTTCCATGAGGCCAGCTGATTATTTGTCTGACGTTGCGAACTCTTACGCTAGCCCATTGTCAAGGAATGAAAAAATGTACAGCCCACTGCGTATTAAGCTCAGTTCTGCCGGGAGTGACCTTGAGCTCTGCCATCGATTTTTTCGCGCAACGCGAGATAGGCATCAGGAAGATCGACATGCCTATTAATTGAATCCGGGCGTGAATGCCATGGTTCCTGCAGCAAGCGTGAATTTTGGTCGTCCGATTGACCCAGTATTCGCACGCGTTCGAAATCGAAGTCGAAGCCGTGCCCTGGCGTGGATGCTTGAGCTGCCACCAATGAAGGCTTGCCCTTTCATCGCGCGGTGAGTTCGTGTTGGCGCAGTCTCGTGGCAACCCGTTTGCCGGTTTCACCAACATAATTGGCTTGACCACAAATACAGTCGATGCGGTTAGTGACATCGGGTTTTTGGTAAACGGGTACTGGATCTTTAGACTGCACGAACTGCTTGCAGATTGTCGCTTCCGGTCTGTGAGCGACACCAATCCCAAATTCGCTGAGTATTCGAGCGAATTCTTCGGATACACCAGCAATATAAGGTATTGCTTGCCAGCATGTTGGTTCTGGCTATCCCGTTGTTTTTTCGTTCGGCTCCTGGCCTGAATTTTAGACGAATGCGCCAGGGTATCCATTTATCTTGAAAAGTTTCTGCAGAAACTGGACCTCGGCCTTCTTGTCGGCTTGTTCGCTGCAGTGGATTTCTATGCTGCGAAATGGCGTTCGCACTCAGCTACGTTTGTGCGAGACGGGATGACTGCTAAGGTGTCACAGAATACGAGAAGTATTTGTCGCCTTATTCTAAACTGTTGTTTTTAATTTCTCACTGTCTTCTCTGCACATCAGCACGTCAAGGAGCGGCAACTGGCAGTCTTATTCCTCCTCCATCGTCAACTAGATGTCGGGGAAGATCGAGTTCAAATTCTCCGTCAAATCCCCAATCCTGTCTCGACGAAGGACAACAAACGTGTCATCAACATACCGGATCCACAATCGTGGTCGATAGTGGCTGAAAGTCAGTGCCTCTGGTCGTTGTAATATCGCCTTGGCAATCAGGCCAGACGACGGCGACCCCATTGGTGTACCTTCTACTTGTTTGTACACCGTTCCACTGAAGGTGGAAAAAGGTCCTCAAACAGTGTTTCAGGAGTCCAATATGATGACTTATTTTAAGCTTCGCGTCCGTCTCGTTGTATTGATCTTCTAACAGGGTTCGAATGGTTTCAACTGTAAGTATTTGCGGACCCAATGGACATCCCTTAATGTATACCTAGGCGTCACTATTTTACATAAGCCACAGGCGTGCGCTTTGTGCTATCCAGAAAACTGTGGATACGGACGAATTCGTAAGTTAACCAGCTGTCTTCTCACTTCCAATAAATCCGACATTTTAACTGGCGATTCCTACTTGTTCGACAGTGGAAACCATCCTTCAGCGAAGGGTTTCTTAATACTTACAACAGCAGTCAAATGTATACAGTGGCTTTCTGCACTCCACCTCCAGTACGAAGGAGTAAATGTGGATTACTCAGAAGGTGGGATTTTGAGGGCAGTGTAGTGATGCCGTAACAGCTTCCGCTTTCGGCGTCACGCCGTGCCTGATGTCACGTGACTGCAAAGTCTCTGGGGCAGCCAATCACATGTGCCACAAAAAGAGCGCCAACACGAAATCTCTTACGGCCAACGTCTCTCTCCCCCAATCTGGTCTGGCTAAAGATCCCCCCTATGGCTCACACGGGACCCAATTGCGATGACAGCCACACTCGGAAACGCGGTCCAATGGGGTCACCCTTAACTGGATTCCTTGCCGAAATAACAATGCAGAAGCTAGAATCAACGGCCCTTCCATCGATCATCTCTAAGTTATGGGTATGATATGTAGACGACACATTTGTTGTCGTTAAAAAGGAACAACTTGAAGCGCTCCACAACGCCATCCACCCAACCATTGCGGGCATTCAATTCACGCTCGAAAATGAGGTTAACAGCAAACTCCCATTCCTAGATGTTCTCATGCAGCGAAATACTGACGGAACATTACAAACTTCCGTTGACCGAAAATACACGTATGCGGAAGTTATTCTTAACTATGAAAGCAACAACCCCATCTCTCACAAAAGGAGCGCCGTCAACACTCTGCTACGCCAAACGAAGACATACTGATCTGACGAAGAGACCTACCGAGTCGAGCTCAGTGGTCTGTTAGATTTGTTTTCCCGCAATGGTTACCCCAGAGACTTTGAACGCCGATGCATTAAACAACAAAAACCCAACAAAAGGGAGCCAGATAGTTCCACTCAGGCGCTCGAAACAAATGAATGGCAAATCCTTTCTTGTATAAGAAATACATATGTCCGAACTCGTTGAAAGACACTTGCGAAAACACCAAATAAAAGTGTCGCACAAAACGATGGCTACTTTACGCACCTAGCTGGTACACCCTGAGGATAGAGTTGGCTACCCCAGTAAGAAATAAGTCATCTACCAAATCCTTTGCAAAGCTTATGATACCGTATATTGTGGCCAAACAGGAAGATCCGTCTCAACACGCATCTACGAGCAACAATTGGCTGTGAAGAGACGTGACCACCTGTCCGACGTAGCTATGCATTGCCTTGACACACGACACACCTTTGCATGGGATAAAACACTCATCGTCGGAGTTTGCCCCTCCAAAAATGGCCGAGAATTTCTTGAGGCCCTGCACTCTGACGAATTATGTCTCAACCGTCATATGGAGTTAGACGGTATTTATAAACACCTCAGACTGACAGAGTCCAAAACCACCAATTAGGTCTCACGCCATCTAACTATCAATTTTTCCGCGCGTTTGAAATTTTAGTTGTTCTTTGCACATTTCTTGCTGGTCCAACGACGAACTGGTGAACCAGTCTCGAAAATTCACTGATTAAAGTTACCTTTATAGCCCAAAGAACATCTTTTTCTTCAAATTAAAACTTCTTGGGATATGCGTTTTCCAGTTTATACGAAAGCTGAAATAGGTTGTCTTTTTTATTTAAAGTTGAAGGCGCAAGCAATGCATGTGGGCGTAAATTATGCCACTCTTGACAACGAAAGACAACGTCAAGAGGACCTGCTTCATGAACTCCGAGGACTTGAGGCAGAACTATCTTCCCCTCTGCTCAACAAAACGCAATTACCACAGTTAGCATCCAGCGTTGGTGTAAGTTCTGACGCATTTCAGCTCTCTCTTCATGTACTTATTCTTCCTTCCTCCTATAGGTTGAACTCGACCTTAACACAAAATGCTTAAAATATTTGACAGGCATTTCAGAGCTGGAGCATTACGTGGCGGTAAGTTGACATTAGTTGTACCTACACTTTACTGTTCTGCAGGATGTCGCAGCCCAATTTGCCAACCGATCAATCGAATTGAGTAATCCCAATGCCGTCCATTCAGCTGTTTACACTTACAAGGTTGGTTTACTTCAAATCTACGTCTACACAATTGTTAATCGGTTTGTCTAATTCTCGATGTTGCGGCTGATCTGTTGGGAAAAAAACAGTTTCCTGTTTAAACAACTTTAAAAACAATGCTGCTCACTGTTCGTCAATACTATTTTAATAGTGATCCCTGGCGCCTCTCGACATTAGGAACTCGAACTCACTTTACGCAAACTAAAAAGTATTTGTACAAACAATGCTACTCATTGTTTGTCAATACAATTTTAATATTAGTTAATTTTTACGCGTGCATGTGCAGATTTATATGACGCACCGGCACGTAATTAATAGGCTCTTCAAAAGCATTGCCTATTACTCTCAGCAAATAAACTAAAACTTACGTTCTACTAACTCAAATACCGACTTATTTTGGTTTTAGACACTGACAGACAACGTTGAAAGCTGTTGGGATTACGTTGACCAACTGGCGTCTTTTATGCAAATTCATCTGAAATCGGCAGCTCAATATCATCAAGTAAGTTTCGCCATCCCCTGTACCACGTCTGCATGCAATAATGCTCAATGCGCAGCTGTATAATCCTCAAACACAAACACCGCTAGTAAGTAGCCAATTATAGTCTGCTTCCGTCTGGGTGTATATCGCAACCTTTGACATTGCACAGCTGGCCTAACTGTTCGCAATGTCATTGTTGTAGTAAATTAGTGATGATCAGATAAGCTTACGGAGGATATTAAGGTGACTTTTCAAGGATGGCTAGCCATGCTATCTGAGATGATTTCGGAAA